ACCCCAACCCTTCCTGAGCCCCTATCCGCTCCTCACCCCCAGCCCCCCTCGCTCCCAGCCCTTCCTGAGCCCCCCTGCTCCTCACCCCCATCCGCTCCTCACCCCCAGCCTCCCAACCCGCCTCTCCGGGGCTCCGAACGGCAGCGAGCTCCCCCACAAACACCCCTCACAGGGCCCCCGACTGCTCCTCGCCCCCCACCGGCTCTCACCCGGCCGCGACAGGCCGCCCCCGCCCCAAGGGCCCGCGAGCCAGCCAGCGCGCGCCCGGCCCCAGCGACCAACGAACTCTCCCGCCGAGCAGCTCCCCCTTCCCGCCTCCTCCCCACAACCGGCACGGGGGGCGGGGGCTGGCCGGGAGAGGGGCCAATCACAGCGGCCGGCTGCCGATACACCCCGCCCCTGCCCCGCGCGGCCGCAGCTGGGGGCGGAGTTAGACTCGGCTCTCCGCGCGCGCCCGGCGCCCCGGTCCCTAATTGGGCGCTGCGGAGCGAGGTGTCCCAGGGACCCGCCCCGTTGTGGCTGCGTCCAAGGGACTCTCCCCCCCCCCGGAGTGGCAGAGCTATGCGTAGTCAATAATCATGCGGGGGGGGGGGCGAGGTGTATCTCAGGCCGCATGTGTATGTACAGCGCCCAGCACAAAGGGGTCCTGTGCACGCCCAGACTATGAGCAGTGAATAATTACAGGGTGGGGCCGTGGGGCGGCCCTCTGGGCAGCTGTAGCCAGTGGTACCAGGTCCTGCCCTGGGAGTAGTCGGAAGGAGAAGGGGTGGCAGATAGCTCTTTAAGGGGAGGGATAGCTCAGTGGTTTGAGCATTGGCCTACTAAACCCAGGATTGTGAGCTCAATCCTTGAGGGGGCCACTTAGGGATCTGGGGCAAAATCAGTACTTAGTCCTGCTAGTGAAGGCAGGGGGCTGGACTCGATGACCTTTCAAGGTCCCTTCTAGCTCTAGGAGATAGGACATCTCCATTAACTTAGGCAGCAGCTGCGATAAGCTCCCGGAGGGCTCAGCCAGGACCGCTATGGGGGAGAAGGTAGATGGGGAGGCAGGACGGAGCAAGGCGTAGCCTGGGAGCACCGAGGCTCTAGCATGGTAGTGCCCAGGCCTCCTAAGCATGGCCTGACCCCCTCACATACCGTGCTGGGTGCTGTACAAAGCCACCCATTCTGCCTGAGTTCCATCCTGCTCCCCCATCATCATAGAATTATTTACTATGCATTGTGTGGGGGTGCTCAGGCCCCCCTATGCATGGCCCAGCCTTCCCCTTGTGCTATACAGATGCACGTGTACCTCCTGAGCTCCACCCCTCCCCATCCTATCATCATTTACTACTCATAGCATGGTCCTGCACAGGACCTAAGCATGGCCCAGCCCTGCCTTGTGCTACTTGCTGTACAAATGCACTCCTCCTGAGATCTCCCCCCCGGTGTAATTATTTACTATTAATACTGTGGTAGCCCACAGGACCCCCCCCCCCCCAAAGCTTGGCCCAGGACCCCATCGTACTAGGAGCTGTACAAATAATGGCAGGATTGACTAGAGTTTAGCTGCGCCCACATAGCTGGAGTGTGGCACAGACATCATCATGCCATTGTGGGGGCGGAGGTCTAGACCCACACACTAGGTTTGCATCTGCTTTTACTCACTCCATTTAACAAAGTTTACGTTCCCCCCCAGGGCAGAGGGTGATGAAGCCCCCACATCTTACTTGTTAAAGCTTTCAGTAAGGCAGATGGTCATGCACATGCTCTCTGCCTCAGGGTGAATTTCTCTTCCACACGATGGGCTAGCTATGGGACAAATGGCTCTTATTTATTGTTATAAACGGGCAACAGACAAAGCCAAGCCCATCGCTGCATAAAGATGGGAGGGAGGGATTTCTCAATTGCTTTGCAGATTGGGTAAGGGGAGAACGTTTGTAAACTAGGAGTTACAAACTAGCACCCTATTCCTGAAGCCTGTTCCATCCGGGTGGATCTGTGCTCCTGTCTAACCCAATTATCCTCTACTGCGGGTCCATCATCATAGCACCAGTAAGAGGATCAGGGCAGAAATTTTTTCTTAAAGCTACTTGATTTTTAAAAAGTTTGTCAGAAACATTGCACCTAAAAACGCAAATAAAGTGAAGTGTAAAGGGGAAGTTTTGTCATATGTTTACGATTAATGACCTTGAGGTTTTTGTACTCAGCCTATTGCAGCAAGATACCAGATCCTCTAAACAAACACACAGTATTAACCTGATTAGATCTAATGTAAACCCACTCAGCTGTTGTTTCCGCCACTGGATGGAACATAAGTGCTGTTTGTTATATGATGCAGCAAATTGGAATCTAACATGGTAGATTAAGAGGGCGAGACAAGGTGGGTGAGGCAATATCTTGTTGGACCAACTTCTGTTGGTGAAAGAGACAAGCTTTGGAGCTCCACAGAGCTCCTCTTCAGGTCTGGGAAAGGTAATCAGAGTGTCTCCCAGCATCTTTCCCATATGTGAACAAGAACTCTGCAGACCTTAAAAGCGTATCTCTTTCACCAACAGAATTTGGTCCAACAAAAGATACTACCTCACGCACCTTGCGTCTCTCATATTCTGGGACCACCAACATGGCTACAACCACACTATAAACATGATAGATCAAGACAATTGCAAAAGAAACAAAGCTGAATTGCACAATCTTTTTATTTTGTGCGCACCACATATAACACAGGATCGCCCAGACACTGCCTGAGGGATATCCACATAAATGCTATGTGCCTTTACTGGGGCTTTGATTCCAGCCTGTCCTGATCCCCTTATCAGTTATGCTGCTCTGGAGCTGACACAGCAAAGTAGGGGATATTTGACTATAGAGTCTGGTCATTTGAACTGATACCTTTGCCAAACGTTATGGCTTGCCAGTTTTCACACCTCCTGATCATGCCGGATATTACATGTTTGTAATATGGTCACTGCTGCAGACACTATGGAAGCTGTAATGTCATTCTGCTGAGCTTGTGATAACAGAAAAGACCGTTCATGTAGCTGCAGTGATTAAGAACATGGCAGAGCTTCCCAACTTGTTCAGGTAACAAGACCAGTTTGCCAGACTACTCCCACCATCGTACTAGCTGGTGACCTCTCCCCACCCTCTTGGGCCTGCAGCCAGCAACCTCTATTGCCGTCCCTCCCTTAATAGGCCACCCAGTCCCCACCGCGCTCTAGAGCTGGTGTGAGACCTGCGACTGACCCCTGGCAAACAATGAAGTGGAAGGTGGGCGGTGATAAGGCACTGGGACCAGGCACAGAGGCTGAGCCCAACATTCATCCTGACGACAGTGAAGCAGTTGGCCACAAAGCAAAGGGAGGCTGATTAGCCAATGGTAAAGTTTGAAGTACTAGTATTACTGGCAGTGGGAACCACCAAGCTATGCCCATGGGAGGAGAGGGACACAGGCATCGTTATAAAGCAACACCTGCCCTAAGCCTGTGGAGGCATTTACCCCACTAAAGCCCAAGTCATCAACCACATTCTGCATCAACATGACGCATGCCATATTTACAATGGCCACAGGGCCCTAATAAAGGGCACAGCTGCTCAGGCAGCCTCCCTAGCAATCTTGAAGCATAACCCCTTAGTTACCAACCTCCATTATCCCAAAACCTGAGCTAAGGGCTGGATCTTGCTCTGCACCTGGGAGGGTAAACTCAGGTGCAGATGAACTGATCGGGGGGGGGGGGGGCTCCAAAGTCAAGGACTCTTCACTGAAAATGCTTTAAGCCTAGCAACTCCCCTCCATCCTGGGTCCAGCCCAAGCGGCTGTTAATGAAGCACCATGGCTGAGCTCAGCGACAGGCTGAACTTGACCCAGTCAATGGGAGTTGCGGGTGTGCAGAATGGCACTGGATCAGGCCATTAGGTACCACACAGGGCTTTACGGATGGACACCTAAGACAGCAGAGGCAAGTGGTGCTAGCAAGGCAAGTCATCCTCAGGAGTGTAACTCGTCACTGTTATTTTTACTCTTGCCTCCTTTGGGGAGTAAAAAACCCCCAAGTTAACATGCAGTTCCTTGGGCCAAGGATGGAATGCGTGCGTAAGAGCAACAGGAAGGAATGGCCTGTGGTATAAACAATGACGCACTGGTAACATCTGCTTTGAGAAGTACCAGCCGGAGCAAGGGGGCTGAATCCACAGAGCTCTTTGGCAGCAGAAGAGCCTGATCACACACAGAGGCTGCAGATGGGTCAGGACAGGAGAGGCATCATATCCTCAAAGGACAAGGAGCAGCTTAGTATCCATGGAAGTGTTTAAATGAACATCATGACCTGGGAACGTCCCACACCAAACCTCAGATCCGAAGCCCCTCAACATTTAGGGGATGTTTGAAACCTTCACTCGCATCTGGGCTTGAATTTTACACGTTCTCCCGCCTTTATACCTAGCCCGAATATGCCCAAACTAGGGGGCTGTTTAAAATCTGGCTCCTAATTTTCATGGGCCTATTTCCAGTTGCAACAGGGCTGAAGATAAACTGCACAAGCTTTGCTGTGCTGCATTCAGTCCTGCTCCTCCTGGGACGGCTTGGCCCTTCAACACAATGCAACCAATCCCATGTGCTGCCCCGTCTGGGGAAGCAGCAAAACTGCTGCAAGTGAGAAGATATAGTCCCCATCAGAGCAGGCACCGGCCTGCCTGTGGTGCTGCAGCAGGTCTTACGGTGGAAGCTAGGAGCACTGGAGACATTGTTCACACTTGTCAGATCTTGTTCTTCTTGTTGCTCTAACAGCGCCTCTGTGGCTGACCAATTAACTCCTACAAGGAGGAGTTCAGCAACACAAACTCTGCTGCCCGCAAGATGTGCAACTAAACGAAGATCCATCTCAGCCCTGCTCCTGTCAATAGAGGTTTGGCCAGAGGTGTGGCAGCAGGATCAGATCCCCAGGGCTTCTTTCAAAGCCCACCAAGCTATTGTCTACCTCTAGGCATTCCCTTCCCTGAGTCTTTCCAAGGTGAAAAGTAGCCCAAGTGTTTGCAAATTAGTGAAATAATTTTCAAGGAAGCAAAGCTTTTAAATATGTCAAGGAGTGATCTCTGGTGAAGCACAAATCTTTCCTGACCATTGGTGATAGGCCCTACCCTTCACCCCGAACCAGGCAGCCCCAGTCTGGGAACATCAACACAGCTTGGGCTGATAATCCACATTGACTGATCCAGTCTATTCATATGACATATTAAAAATATTTTAATAGTTTAAACAAACTAGAGATTGGTCCAAACCAAAGCGCATCCAGACTTTGAGACTGGTCCCTATTCCTGTCACAAGTTGACTCAAAATCCTAGATCCAAACATTGGAGAAGTTCAGATCCGGATCCTTCCCCATGTTTGGGAGACACATGGGTGTTAGTTTGTTGCCATTCTAAAATCTTAGGGGCCGCGAAATCCTGGATCCCCCAATAAAGTAAAGATAAACTAAAATTCAAACTACATCCTAAGGCTTTTTGTGTATCAATAGAGGAATAAAATATTTACATTGAAAACATCATCTACCAAGAGGACAAGCTTTAAGGAGAACTGAAGTCAACTGGCTCGTTCAAACTCCATATTGTTCATGCTGGTGTGAAACTCCCTCACTTCAGGATTTTAGGAACATAGAGGAACGCTTCAACTGGGTTGTGGGGGACACAGAGCTGGTGAAGTCACTCCTCTCCCACTTGAAAGGAGAGGGAGAGGAGAGAGGCACTGACGCCTGTTAATTATATGATTCTCTAATATTTTTTAACATGTACACAGTGTCTTTCATCTTCAAAGCACTTTACACACATTAAACCGCTGTAAGAGTTTGGCATCTGAGCCAGAAAAGTCCATTGGGAGCTGCAAGGGCTCAGCACCTCCCAGGATCGGCTCCTGGCTCCTTGCTTAGGTAAAAATGGCAGAACAGAAATGCACTGATCAAATAACTTTAAATATGTGAGTTGTGCATCTTAAAGTCAGTTGGTCCGGTAAGCACAGCTATGCTTTTTTACAAAGCTGTCTCATTAGCCATTAGAGCTCTCCAATGAAATTTGTGTAGCTTTAAGAACTATGCATATGGCCAATGCATTTATTTAAAATACTGTCTACTTGCCAGGACTTGAATTAGGCCCTGAGAGGTCTGTGATTCCTCCTGCAGCCCTAACTATGCAAACCAGATCAGGCAGCTGGATTCTTTACATTGCAGTAGACTCCAGCCCCTGGAAATGACAGCATTCTGAAACCATTTTTCAATGACAGCTCTTAAAAATGGTTTCAGGTGAACCTGCTTTGCTGGCTGCTGCTGCCCAGCTTAGACAGGGCAGAACATTTATTTTTTACCATGGTTATTGAAAACCATCTTCAGGAGCAGCCAAAGTAACCAGGTTCCTGAAACCCTTTCAGACTGGACAGAGTGAGAAAGCAATTTCAGGACTTGGTCAATTTCATCACTGTGGACAAGGCCTTAGTCTAGATCAGTGAGGGCACCAGAGGAAAGAGAAACCGGGGGGGAGGGGGTGGAATGAGATCAGGTCCTGGCAGGAACTGGAACCAATTTTAGAACCAAAATTAAGTCTAGATTCAAATCAGTTGTTTTAAACTTTTGTGTTCACCCCACCTCCCCAACTGTCCTTCCCACCTCCCAGGCCAGAATCTTGGATCATCTTTGCCTTGGCTTTCTTTCTCCTCCATAGCCAAATTCTTGCTAAATCTCAATCACTGCTTCGTCACTAACATCGGCCCTTTTTCATTATCCCAGCTGCTGCAGCCCACACCCCCAGCTGAATCCCCCTGCCTTTGAACACAATCATCTTCTCCTCACTAGTTTGTCCCCAAAGCTGCTGCTAAAGTCATCTTCCTGCCCTCCACCACACTCCAGCTGCTTCAGCCCAGCCGCCCCCCCCAATCTTGAATCTTTCCCATCTCTTGCCACATCGAATCTAGGCTCCTTGTACTCACCAATCTCGCCCCCCACCTATCTCTCACTGCTCGCATGTCCCCTTCCTTCTGCTCCTTTTCCCACCCGCAGATTCACCTCTGCATTCATGCGCCCCCGTGCCTGGGACACACTCTGGCTATGTTTACAGGAGTGTCTCTCTTTACCACTGTTGCCAACGCTGGTGTAGTGACAGTGGTGGCAGCTGTAGTATAGACTGGCTGCCAGTGTTTTTATCACCCAGATCAGGTCTGCAAAACAGTGGTTAAAACACCGGTATTTCGTTTACAGTAGCACTCACATTACTGCTACCTGCAATGGAACTGCACCAGTGGTAGCAACAGAAGGAATTTTTAGGGGTACAGGGCCAGTATAGACAAAGCTTCCCTCTTCTCAGTGGCCTACTGGCCTCTTTCCTCCTTCAGATCCCACTTAGAAACCCATTTCTTCCAGCTATCCTTCCTCCCTTCTCCTCTTCATCATTACTGATAACCTCCTCCTCTCTCCTGACAGGGCCTTGTCTTCAGTGTATCTTGTCTTATTTAGATGATAAGGGCAGGCCACATGTCTTTCTCTGTGTGTAAAGTGCCATGTAAAGTTACTGTGCTAAATAAAGTGACCTGAACAGAAAAAAAATGTTTGTCTTGTCCCCTTGTTTGCTTCTCTGCAAAATGTAAAGACAAGCTGGACTTGTTTTTTCTGTCTTAACTTCTGCCTGAGAAATATCAGGAATGTCAGAGCTGGCCACTCCTGGTTGTGTTAGAAGACTCACTTAGGATCTCAGCTGTGCAAGTCAGCTTTCTCAGCCCGTAGATGCCAGGGCAGCAGGATGCATATTTAGCAAAGAGAGCGTTGCTCTCAGCTCTTCATTGAGGCCTTTTAAAGACAGGACCTGAATTTCTAAGGCAGAAAGTAAGTAGAAAAAGAAAATGTTTTAACACTTATACACACATACACCTTTCCAGGTCTTCTTTATACATCATAAAAAACCCCAAAGAGCACAAACTCCCAGCATTTTCCCTTTGCAGATCACTTCACAATAGCACATTTCCAAGCATTCCATCACTCTTTAAACTACAGTCCACAGCCAGATTGTTATGGTGGCATCCCCTCAAACAGCCAGGATGGGAGAGATCAGGAGCTTCCCCTCCACAGCTTTCATTCTCCTTTGCAGTTCAGTTTGCACTTCACTTTGCTGGTCATGTAAGCGGCAGTGAGGAGGCAGCAGGCTATGGTGAAGAAGCACAGGGCAGAGAAATTGTGAGTCTGGTCACCGTGCAGACTGGTGTAGATCTCCCTCCTTGACTCATAGTCCAGAGCCACTGCCTGCACCTGGGCCAGGGTGCACAGCACCAGAAACACGTGGAAGATTTGATGCCCCTGCCCAAAGAAGTGACATTTCCCAGGAAACCATTTCTCTGGATAAGGGTATGAGAAGAAAAAAGCACCGATAAGGAAAAACAACACCTGGCATTTGTGGTATAAAAGGGCTGGATCCGCCTGCTCGGAGGGCTGAGCTGTATAGAGCCGGTGAATTACTGGGCTAATATCTAGAGCATACGCCAGGCCCATGGGCATTTCCTGACACAGCCTGCTCAGATGGCGAGGAAGTTGGTGGTATCTATATTTAGCATAACAGGAACCTGCACAGGATAACCACGCTAGCAAAACAGCTCCTGGCATGTAAAACCCCATGATCCTTGCATGCCAGTCTGGCTCAATGGTATAGTAGTAATGCACCAAGGCACTGCTGTACTGGTAAATGGCTACTCCCACATAGTCCATGAAAAAAAAGCTATAATGCCAGAACTCTGATTTGGCCTGGAGGAGGTGAGCCAGGGAGCTGAAGGTTAGGTAGGTGATAGAAGCAATGACAATGATGAACAGGGGATGGGCATGAGGATCGCTCACAAAATCCACCGTCTGGGCAAGCCGCTGGAACCTCAGCAGCAGGATCAGAGCAGCCACGAGGTGAGTCCAGACGTTGACAGCTTCGTTGTGCTGCTGGAAAAGCGTCAAGAAGTAATACTTCCAGGTCCGGTTGAGGGGTCTGTAGCCGGTGTGAATGTAGGGTTTCCAGAAGACCTTAGGCACATCTGAGGTGCCCACGGTGCAGGGAGGCGAGGGGAACGCCATTTCCAGCAGCCTGGGGACCTGCCAAAGCTGCTGCACATTAATGAAAAGGCGGGTAAGTTTTTCCGGGACAATGGTTGCCATGACAAGGAGACTCAATTGCTGCCAAGCAAGCAAACCTTCATGAAGAGAAGAAAGGAAAGTTTAGTTTGGTTTTAAAAGCAGCGTTATAGGGGATCAACATGTAGGGTTTGTTTTTTGTTGTTAAATCTTAGCAGATCTGCTTATCAGAGATAATGTTCTCCTGACATTTACAATAAATGAAGAATGAAAAGTAGCATGGAGGGTTTTTTTTGTTTGGGTTTAAATACTATTATTTGTATTACAGCAGGGCCTAGAGGCCACAAGCAAGTTTGACCCCCATTGGGCCAGGTGCTGTAGAAATATACAATGAATGACAGTCCATGTCCCTAAGAGCTTAGAAAGCAAAAACGGCAAGACATAACAGGAAGAGGAGATAAATGAGTGGGAGGGGGTGAGGAAGATTGGATAATACCTAAATATAGTAGGTGGTGCACAATTCTTAGCTAGTGATCACAAATCTTCACCTGCTTAGCCAGTAGCAGGTTGTGATGGCCCAAGCCCCAACATCCTGGACAAACTTGTAACTCAATTAGTTACGTTTCACCACCCAAACCCCCCCTACAAATGGGATTCAGCATCCCCCTTCACTCCCTGTCCTAAATGCTTGCATAGTGATGCTGTGAGTTGTTAAACAGCTGGTGTGTTCCACCTCAGAGGGGGCTGCATTTTAGAGTTGGTAAAGTGTTCTAAGTCTTAGCTGCTTTTTGCAGTTCTTAATTTTCCATATGGCCTTATAAAAACACTAGTTACAAAACACAAATAGTCTAAACACATCATTTAGATTCCCTAACACATTCTGTGGGCGCAAACTGTTATGTAGTTGAAGTCTACTCAGAAACTACTGTCTCTGAGGAGACAAAAACCAGACTTCTTGGCTCCTTTTACTGCATTCACACTGGCCTTGGAAGTGTATTAAGAAGACCCTGTTCTAGGCTAGAACATTTTTTTAAATTTTTTTGTCTACCCTAACTCTACTTGCTAAAGCCTTGTTTAAACACAAAGTTCAAACTCCATTCCAGGCCCAGTGCAACGGGGCGCGTTAGATTAACTCTTACATTTCAGACATGAAACCATTGGAACAGCTCAGGGTACAGCTACACTGTGGTAAGAAACCCACAGCACCGCGTCTCATAGCCCAGTAGGGTTGCCAACTTTGGTTGGATGAATTCCTGGAGTTTTCATCACATGACATGATCTTTAATTAAAGATTAATCTTTAATTCCTGGTGACTCCAAGACAATCCTGGAGGGTTGGCAACCCTAAGCCCAGGTCAGCTGACTAGGGCTGGTGGGGCTCAGGCTGTGGGGCTAATAATTGCAGTATAGACATTTGGGCTCAGGCTGGACCCCGGGCTCTAAGACCCTCCTCACTCTTGGGGGTCTCAGAGCCTAGGCTCCAGCCTGAGCCTGAACATCTACACTGCGATTTTATAGCCCTGCAGCCTGAGCCCTGGGAGCCTGAGTCATCTGACCTGGGCCAGCTGTGGCCATGATGACACAGGTCTTTTGTCACAGGGTAAATGTACCCTTAAATAAGGTTGGGGTATTATTTATTATTAATTATTATTATTATTATTATTAACCTGCTATCATTACCTCTGCATCAACATAGATACATGGCCCCCCCATGCTGATATCTGAAGATGAACCACACGCATTCAGACGAAAAGATTGCTTACTGCTCAGCTTCTACACTGCATCCCTTTCCCCCACTGTCTGTCTAGAAGATTATTTAGATTGTAAAATCCTTGAGGCAGGGACTGTTATTCTAGGTTTGTTCAGCAATTAGCACAATGAGATCCAACTCTGTCCAAAAATGACAGAACAAGGAGTCATGGTCTCTAGTTGCAGTGGGGGAGGTTTAGGTTGGATATTAGGAAAAACTTTTTCACTAGGAGGGTGGTGAAGCACTGGAATGGGTTACCTAGGGAGGTGGTGGAATCTCTTTCCTTAGAGGTTTTTAAGGTCAGGCTTGACAAAGCCCTGGCTGGGATGATTTAGTTGGGGACTGGTCCTGCTTTGAGCAGGGGGTTGGACTAGATGACCTCCTGAGGTCCCTTCCAACTCTGATAGTCTATGATTCTATGATTCTTGGTTGGGCCCACTAGACCCCACTGTGATATTGAAAAAATAAGCTTGGGGACAAAATAATATTTCCTAGTCTGTGCAGGTCTGATTAGTGCTGAAATCACATTATATAAAAGAATTCCAGGGTTCGAGACAGAAAACTCTTGGGGAGGCAGCCTCCAAACTCCAAGCCCAAGAAACCCAAAACAGTGAAGGCTAAGAGGGCTGCGCCTAAGAAGAAGTGAAATGACATGAGATACTTGCCATGACCCCCCCCCACACACACTCCAAACTGCTCATGCCACCCTCCTCTCCTCCTGATGGGAATCACCAGAATGGGGAGGATGACAATGGAATGTGATCACCAGCTTCTTCCACCCTCCAACTAATCCTCAACAAAAAGAACTGAAACCGTCCTGATCCCTGCTCGGGAAGGCACGGGCAAGAAGGCAGCTGCACACATGCATCCTGACTCAAACATATTATGGTCACGTACATTAAGTGATAGAAAATCTTCCACGGTTTGGTAAAAACCTCAAGCCTCGTCTGCACTGAGAATATGTCCTGATTCCAGCCGTCAGTGTAGCTGCACACCAGTGCAAACCCCAGGTGGAGACAAGGAAAGCCACGATTTGCATGGGTGGTGCTTACCCAACTCCAAGCTATATTGGTGGATGGCTGGTTCATCAATTGCTGGAATCGGTGCAAATTCCCAGTGAAGCTAAGGCCCCACTTTGCTACATTTTAGGAGACACTGCTCCAGGATCTACAAGGCAATAGAAATATGTATTTGAAGCAGTGGTAGTGCTTGCTAGGCATAAGCAGTCTAAGTATTTGCTTAGGGTCCCCAGCAGCTCAAGGCTTCCCTGATTTAGTATTACACCCAAAGTACCATTCATCTTATTTAACGTGGACTTGTTAACACAAGTGTGTTAGTATGTGTTGTGTTGGTATATTTTTTTGGTTTGTGGAAATAATGCACTTAGTATTTTTTAGTGGGGGCGGTGAGAAGGGACCCAAAAATATTCCTGTAAGTTAGCATCACCTCTGATTCAGAGCCTTAACAGTAGCAAGGAAATATATCATTCATGCTATGACCTTTCATGTGGCCAAACAAAACAGAAGATAGGAAACAGGTAACAGCTTAAATCAGGCAGCCCCAAGACTGGTTTGAGCAGCACTAATCTTTCACTAGTGAACTTCTTACAACGTAGTGGGAGTGAAGAAATAATAAGGGCCCTGTATAGTACCTAGGAAAATACTCTTAATCAAGAACTCCTACGTACCTAACTAGATTGCAACAGTGCGGCACCAAATACCCAGGTCACCTCCAGGTGTGCAACGGTGCCATAAACTAACTCTCCCACGATGGATCCCTGACTCATATTCAGTAGCACTTACACCGGTAGTCCCATGGAGTGCTACTTAATGTAAAGCTTGCAGCATCTGGCCCTCAATGTTTACATGTGTATTTGCTTGTGTATACACATGTAAACATCCTGTCAAAAGCACAAATAAAAGTGGGTTTATTTTAAATGTCAGTCACTATGTGGTTTCTTTTAAACTGGGGCAGGATCAGCAAAACTCACTTCTGTTGCTGGCTTAAATTCAGTGTCCCCTGTAGGGATCAATTTCACCTCAATTGAATTTTTATCTTATTTCTCAAAGTTCTGAAAAACTTTTGTCAGACAGGCAGAAACTGATCCAAAACAGAGCTGTGATTTTTTTGTACTTGGTTGCTGGGACTGCGTCCGCAGGACCCAGCTATGTATAGGTGTCAGACTCCCCTAAAACTCAAGGGCCAAATTCTGCCAGTGTAAATCCAGAATAGCGCCACTGAAGTCAATGGGCGTTCAGCCACATAACTGAGAGCAAACTCTCCCCCCCATATACCAGGATCCCTTTATGTGCCATAAGGGGCCTCCAAAAGGCTCAGGGAACTGGGGTTTTTGAGAATTTCCTAATATTAGGATCTATAGGATTAGGGTCCGCCCAGGAGTATGCAGTACCAGGGCTCCCCAGCAGTCTCCAGGTACCCCTGAGAGATCTCTAGCTATTAGGGTTTCCACACAGGGTACCCCATTTTCTAGTGCCCTAAGGTTTTAAGTATTGGGGTCCCCTACAGATTCCTACGATGAAGGATGCCCCAGGGTGTCCCCTATGTCCCCAGGCTTAAAGGCTATGGGGATCTCGGAGGTTTGTAGTGTTAGAGAGATACCCCAAGCAAACAAGGTGCTGGGGTCTCAGAGGTGCCCAGCACAAGGCTACTCCTAGTTCTAAGGGGTCCCCAGTACCGTGCGCTCCTGGCACTGCCCCGAGATCCCAACCCCGACCATCCTTCCCTAAACAGCTCAGTCCCTCCCTTGCCCCGCTCGGGTACCTGCGAAGCTCGAATTCCCTCGGCCCGTGTCCGATGCTCCTGGCTCTGCCCCGCCCTAGTCCCAGTGGCACCAGGGAGAGAGAGGGGAGGAAGGGGCTACCCAGTCCGGCAGGGCCGCCCCTCTGCAGCGGCCGCCTCCCCACACAGACCCGCCTTATCTGCTTCCCTTCCCCACCCATCTGGCAGGGACGCCTGTGCCTCTGCAACCCAGGGACCAGGCAGCTGCAGCGAGGGAGCTGCGCCATCTGGAGGCCGTAGAGACCTGAAGCTGGGGCAGCCGGGCGGGTGAGATGCCCCGGGAGGGCGAAACGGGGCTGCAAAGAGAAGATGCCAGGAGCTGAGGGTGGCAAGAGAGGATTGCGGGGAAGAGCCGCCCCCTGCAGCTCTCCCTTTTCCTGCTCGGACACTAATTGCCCTAAGAAATTATTTTAAAACCAGCAGTTTTAATCCCAGCCTCAGGGTGACTCTGACAGGGACTCAATCTGCCTCGATCAGGCATGGGGGATTAGGGGCGTTTCTAGAAATCAGAGTGTTTAAATTTTGCAGGATGGGGAGGGGATTTAAGATACTTGAACCTTCCCTTTTGCCCATGGCTAGCAGCCCCGTCAGCCTGTATTTTCTCCATGAAAACGAAGTGACCATTGCATTATTACTGACACCTCTTTGTTTTCAAACAGGCAGCTTCCAAAGTCTAGTGAGGGGCACTTGCCTTCCACCTGAACACACACTTCTCCCACCCTCCCCAATGGCAACCCCAGTCTGGATCCTTCTCAAAACCTTGGCAATCTCCCACGTTTCCCAGCCCAGCTGAGCTATCACATTACAGCGATGGCTTTTCTGGAACCTAGTGTGTTGTGGCAAACTCTTTTCACTGGGTTTTTAAATATTGATTAATTAAAATGTATGACCATTGACTTTACATGGCGATCAACATCCAATCACACTGGTGTAGCTTCGGATCAAGATTTCAATAGGCCCACTCCCAGGGTCACCTGCCTTTCTGCCCGGGTTCCTCAATAAAATATAGCTCTATGGTATGAGCCTTAGTGTAGCACTTTCCTGCAAATTCCCTGCTGTTTTCATGACACAGCGCTATTTGCACCCCATCTATAAAATAGGGTCAGTGATACCACACAAGTGGGTTATGAGGTTTCACTCATTGTCAGTAAAGAAATTTCAGGTGACATAGGAGTTGACAAAGGTTTTGTCTACTGTTTTATCAAACAGGAGTCAGGGAGCAGTGAAATATCAGACTGCTGTATCTCTGATCTGAATTCATCCCCAAATGGCCTCTCAGCTCTCCCTATTTCAGACATTTCACCTCGATACCCAACCTGTTTCTGCCATGAAAAACACTTTAGTAGGACTATGAACATTTGTCAGTATCTGTGAGATCAGGGTGTTAGAAGTGCCCAGTGCATCTGGGTACCATTAAAAACCATTAATGAAATACAAGACCTTCAAAATAGACTCAGGTATGGAGGATGTGAAAAGTGACCCACCGAGAATCTTTAAAAATGTGGCTTGTGAATCTTTTTTTGCTTCTTTATGATGGATAAAGAGCGAGTTTTTGGTTTTTGGCTTTGGAAATATCAGAAATGTCAAGTCTGGTCTTCTCTGGTGTTGGCAAAACATTTATTGGATGCCTCAGAGGATGTGTATTTTACACTGAAACACCTTAACTTACCTTGAAGGGTTGGGAGTGTTTCTTTAACAACGACATCCTTTCTCCAAAATGTATATTAGTCGAACAGGTTAAATAGTTAAAGAGGTGTTACACTTGAAAAAAATGTTTTAAAAGTATGATTAAAAATTCCTTCCCTTCTCATTTGCTCAGCTTTCACTCTCTGGACTTATAATTTCACCAGATCTCCAATCATACTAGATCAGGGGTATCAAACACGCGGCCCGCGGGCCGCATCCCTGCGGCCCACCAAGCTCCCCCCGCCCCCCCCCCCCCCCCCGAGTTATTTTATGTGGCAGCTAAGCTCCCTGGTCCCCAATGTTTGGGGCCGGGTCTCTCCCCCGGCCCCGCCTGCCACCCCCACGCGTCTCCCCTGAGTGTCCCCTGGGCTCATTTGCTGCCCCTTCACCGGCTCTGCTCCGCTCTGCCGGCTTCTGGCATCACCTGCTACCGCAGGGTCCTAGTGCCCCCCTCCACTATGGCCAGGGCAGGCTGCCCTTCCCCTTCCCTTCTGCCCTAGTTCTGAGCCTCTTCAATGCCCCGAGCCTCTCCAATGCCCCAAACTCCTCATCCACAGCCCTCACCCCTGCACTCCCTCCTATCCCCAAACTCCATCCCAGAGCCTGCACCCCAGACCCCCTCCCCCATCCAAACTCCCTCCCAGAGCCTTAGGCAGGTGGGGATGGAGTTTGGGGGAGGGCAGGCTCTGGGCACCACCAAAATTTCTACAAACCTGCCATCCCTGAAAGAGGCAGAGCAGGGGTGAAGTGGTGGTGCAGCCCAGTGCAGTGGAGGGGCTTTAAGAGAAGTAAATCTAACTAAGTTCGTGTTTTGTCCTTTGAGTGAGGTGCATTACTGTTGGTGGCGCTTAGCACTTTCCAGGGGGGAGGAGCAGGGAGCTGGGCGCGCAGGGGAGGAGGTGGAGAAGAGACGGGGCAGGGGCGGGGCCTCATGGAAGGGGTGGAGTGGGGGCGGGGCTGGGGGCAGCAAGGGGGGGTGTCAGTGATGCGGCCCTTGGGCCAATGCACTAGTCCTCATGTGGCCCTCGTGGTCATTTGAGTTTGAGACCCCGTACTAGATCCACCCAGTGCAGACAGAAGCCGGATTTCTATTTCTATTAGGAAAAAACTCCTTCTAGGTCTTCTTTATACATCATAAAAAGGCAAAACAAGGTACAGCCCCCTTTTTTCCCCCTTCACAAGTCACCTTTAACATCATTTAAAATTCAGTCAAAAGCCAGCCTAGACAGGTAATTCTTACCTGCCAAATGCAGGCTCTAGGGCAGTAGCTCTCAAGCTTTCCAGACTATTGTACCCCTTCAGCAGTCTGATTTGTCTTACGTACCCGCAAGTTTCACCTCACTTTAAAACTACTTGCTTACAAAATCAGACATAAAAATACAAGTGTCACAGCACACTATTACTGAAAAATTGCTTATTTTCTAATTTTTACCATATAATCATAAAATAAATCAATTGGAATATAAATATTGTACTTACATTTCAGTGTATAGAGCAGTATAAACAAGTCATTGTATCAAATTTTAGTTTGTACTGACTTTGCTAGTGCTTTTTATAAAGTAGGCAAATATCTAGATGAGTTGATGTACCCCCTGAAAGACCTCTGTGTATCCCCAGGGGTACACATACCCCTGGTTGAGAACCACTGCTCTAGGGGAATGGCCAAAGAAAAGGTTCCTGCAATATCCTCAATTAAGAATACTCAGCCATCTGTCCTGGAGAGGTAGGAACAATAGCAAGTATGTCAAAGCCATTTATAAAGGAACATAGATCTTTCCAACTGGGGTTGCAGACCATTTTGGGCTCTCTAAATCGTAACTAGAGCCCCTGTGTAATCCATAATTCGGTGGCTATGGAATTCACCCCTTGATGCATAATTGTGCTCCAGAATCTGAGCTTGCATTTAAAAAAAAAAAAAAGATCTTTGTAGCACTCATTATTGCAAACATAACCCTGAAAACCTGAACAGAATAAAGGCTTATCTACACAGGGAAGTAGCTATTCTGTACTACCTCCCCATGTGGACGCTTATTCTGCAGTGAGTGCCTTTATATAGTTTAGCTTAAACCACTTTGGGAGTGTAATAAGCTGAATATGCAAAAAGTCACTCAGCATGGAATAAGAGTGTACACATTGGAAACTAGTGTGGAATAACTATCGTGTTTTAAATTCACACCCTAGCTTATTTTGCAATAGCTTCTCAGTGTAGACAAGCCCCTAGGACAGTGGTTCCCAAACTTTAACAACCTGTGAACCCCTTTCACTAAAATGTCAAGTCTCGTGAACCCCCTCCTAAAAATGAATATTTACAGGGATTTTCTCATTTACCTGAGTATAAATTATAAAAACAGTGATCTTGGAAATACAAAATTTGTTTTTATGACATGCTTATTACACAATAATTATTATTAAGTGTCCCTGGCCTCTGTTGCCAGAAGCTGGGAATGAGCGAAAGGGGATGGATCACTTGATGAATCCCTGGTCTGTTCATTCCCTCTGGGGCACCTAGCACTGGCCACTGTCGGAAGACAGGATACTGGGCTAGATGGACCCTTGGTCTGACCCAGTAGGGCCATTCTTATGTTCTTATTTATCATTACAGTATTTTTATTACATTATGAAAATGGCAACACTCTTCCAGGATCTCACTTTTGTAGCTTGTATCACTTTGAATAAGCCTGTTATAAGACAAGGCTCCTATGTTTCATCAAAGAGTATCAGATGTGAAACAGCATGAAGGTATTTAAGAAGCCAACTCAGAGTTCCTCCTACACAAGCATTCAGGTCTTGAGCAGTCCAGACAAACAATGCACGTTACAACAAAGCTTAAACTTGTTCCTCATAATAATTTTAAAAACAATACTAGCTGCCTATTTAATTTTAAAAACAGCAAAAAATACCCACCTCCCTTTCCATTTCTTATGAGGAGTCTTGAAGTTTAAATCTCCTCAGTGTGATAGATACGCTTGCTTTGATCCTCTTAGCTCTTAGAAGTCCAGGGGCTCTGGGCTGCTGGCCCCATGCTGCCCTGGGTCCCTAGGGACAGCTCTGTCCGCCATTAGAGAATTTTTTTCCGAGAACCCTCTGTAACATTTCATGAACCCCCAGGGGTTCTTGAACCCCTGCTTGGGAACCATTGCCCTAGGACCTATATCAATGCAGTGACATCTTCCAGAGTCTGCGGACAACCTGTATCAATACTTGAAAGAGGTGAACTGGCCTGTTCATCTGAAATGAGTTAACTCTAAAACCTAAAGATGACATTTTAAATCCCAACATGGATAACTATTTCACAGATTGCTGTAGCAAAAACATCCAGCTAATGCAGTGGTTCTCAAACTTTTGTACTGGTGACCCTTTCACATACCAAGCCTCTGAGTACGACCCCCCCTTATAAATGAAAAATACTTTTTAATATATTTAGCACCATTATAAATGCTGGTGGCATAGCGGGGTTTAGGGTGGAGGCTGACAGCTTGCGACCCCTCATGTAATAACCTCACGACCCCGTTTGAGAACCCCTAAGCTAATGTATTTATTCTACAATCCCAAATTGCCATCCATACCAGTGAAGGGGTCAACCACAAATGTCCCCTACTCAGATGCCAATGTCCCCTACTCAGATGTATAGCTTCCCCTGACAATCTCTATGATGTAATTGGACATTATCAATGCAAAAATCTGTGGTATATTGAAAACTGAAAATATGAGGGCAGCATAAAATAAACAACATGAGAGCTTATAATACTGGCTATATTCATTTTCATAGTTAATCCAATAAAAAACATATCACAGCCTTTTCCTACTTCTCAAGCCACAATTCTTCTAATATAGACCCAAGAATTATGATATAGCTTTGTAGTTTCATAGATGTTAAGGCCAGAAGAGAGCATTAAATCATCTAGCATGACCTCCTGTATACTACAGGCAATTAATTTTCAGTTATACCTGTAATAAGCCCAGTAACTTGTTTGGTTAAAGCATGTCTTGCAGACAGGCATCATCTTGAGCTGAAGACATCAAGAAATGGAGAATCCACCTTTCCTTGGTAATTGGTTCCAATGGTCAGTCACCATCACTGTGAAAAAGTGTGCCTTATTTCCAACTTGAATTTGTCTGTCTTAACAAAGCCTGGTGCTCTTTACAGGCTGGCTGGCTAGCCTTTCACTTTTTCCAGATGTCTTCTCCCTTTATTTCTCTCCCCTCATCTTATCTGTTCCATCCTCTCTCTCCCTGTAATCCATTACTTCACTTTTCCCCTCACTTGCTGTGTCATCCTCTCAATTCCTGGGTCCCTCATGTTTTAATTCCCTCCTCAAATTCCTTTATTACCCTTCTTTAAAGACCCTTTTCTTCCACCAGTCTCCTTCTTAAGATGGAATGAGACTAGTTCAGCCATATCCCCCTTGTGTTGTTCCTTTTGGATATAACAGGATCAGGGTTAGGTATGACCAGATCTTTAGATATGGCGCCAGGGCCCATCTGGCAACCTACTACAGGACATAATGTAGAGGTTATAGTTGGTGGTGCTCTTCTTCACAGCATGGCACTAGGCTGCTGACAGGGTTGGGCTTTTTCCCTAGCTGAGACAAAATCAATGTGATGAATACTTTGGGATCCTCTGACTTTCTTTTCCACAAAAGTGATGTAGTGTATATCACGAGAGATGCGCTAGACTGGTAGTTGCCAGATCTAGGGTTCATTTCTGATTGGCACTGCTACGTGAACTCAGAAAAGTCGCTTTGCCTCTGCTTCTGTCCTCTTTTATTCTTAGTTTTTCCCCCCATTGATAGAGTAGCACCCCACAATACTTGGACTAAATATGCAGAATAGATTCTTGATCTGATCACATCTGACCTGACATTATTATACGTGTAATTGCTAGGAGGAGCCCCAGACATTGACCAGGGTTTCACTGTTCTAGATACCATACAAACACTGCAGAAAAACAGTTCACATTCAGAAAGGTTTCCATATTAACAGCCCCCAGAAAACTGGAGAAGCAGCTTGGAATTCGGGTCAGCAATTTAAAAACCTAGATCCCTGGCTCAGCTATCACACCATCTTCAGGACATCAGAGGCTTTGTGACTTTTATTCCCATAAAGTGGAACTGGATTGTGAAGTGACTGTTGCAATAAGACTAAACAATAAGAGCAACAAATTAAAAAATGGTGTCCAATTTTGAGCTCTCAGCTGTTTTAGCGGTGCTGACCATCAAAAAATTCCAGCTGAAGTCAGTGGGAGCTGTTAGTGCTCAGGGCCTCTGAAAGTCAGATATTAGCAGTCTCACATTTGGTACCTGTGTCATCTCTCCCACCTTGCCTCTTACAAGCTTCAGTGGTAAGAGTATATGGTGTCAAGCCATTCAATGGGTACTCCTGTATTTAGCTAGAAAAGTTCTCTTGGATAAATTATAGTACAAGCCTGACTAACAGGGTCTCAGTTTAAGAATGAATCCTACCTATGTCTACGTTGGAGAATTTATGATCATATAGCTACTTACATGTGCAATTTGCTGTTATTCCTTTACCTCATGATTAGCAGTATTCATTCACAAGTGTCTACAAGATCCTCCTAGAGTCTTTCACTTTGGAAGGAAAGCTACTGAGCTAAGTGAAATAATGGCCTTTCTCCAATTAGACTGGCATGAATTGAATTAAATACGGACAACACATGATAGCTAACAGTAATTAAGGAAGTAGAGTTTTGGGGGACTATTTTGTAAGGACAGCGATGGGAGTTGGGTGCTTATCTCTCCCTTAAGTTCTAACTACTGTTTGAGTTAGAATAAACTATTTTTTACTCACAAAAAGTGTAGCTCCTCTTAATTGGTAATAGATGTAGATTCCATGTACAGAAACTGGTACAGTGCAAAGTACTGGAAGTCTCGATAAGATGCCCATTTTTAAATTTAAATCTTTTTGTCGTTGGATTAGAGAAGTGCAAGAACTGTGTCAAGTTTGAAGTCACTCCACAAAGCTGCATGGTGACACTTGGATCGCTCTCTTAGTGTTTCCAGAAAAGTTGTTTTTAACATAAAGTCAGATCACAGTCATGTGGTAACAAGGATTTATTTGTTGAAGTGTCAACGTCCAGAGGGAGGTGGTTCTGAATTGTTTAAACAAGAACCATAACAGCTGACAACTGCTGAGGTGCCACAACAAAGCTCTTATTGTAAGATTAAGACAATGAAGACAGCTCTAGGGAAAAGGATGCCATACACTACAGTATATCCAGTAGCTGGGTGTAAGAAAAAAGCACTGCTTCAGGCTTTTCTTTCTAATGTTAAAGAAGGTCTGTTTTAGACACAGTCATCTATAAAAGTTGGATTTTTTTAATGCATTGTCATACTAGTTCCAGAAATAATTCACTTGTGATAATAGCACTGTGCAGCTTTATTAAGTCAGTCAGTTACAGTAGTATCTTATAAGACTGGGACAGAGTCAGATTTTGAAGTGTAACATTCAGCATGGAATAGTATACTACATATTCCTTTCACAAACATGTCTTACAGAGCTTATACAGTACTAGCCATCAGCCCAGTAGCAAGTGCACTGGAGTAGAAAAGGATGCAACAAGAAGATAGCTACACTGGAAAGACAACACTTTAGAAAAAGTGAAACATGTAAGATCTCCCCTTTAGTCCCCAAAGCAAGTGTACAGTTTAGATCTAACTATACAGCTCTACATCAGTTTTCTAGAAATTCAACAAAAAACCCACTGGCCAATACAGTCTTTGGATATTTAGGGGGAGGGGGGAGAGTCATTTTCCAGAATGAAGTCAGTCAGTTTCGTTCTCGCCAGGTTCTTTGACTTCTTTGTTCTTTCGTACTTCTTCAATATGCTTGTCCTGAAGAAAGGAAAGGTGATTGAGCGATTAGTTGTTTGAATTAGTCTACTAAAGAAACCAAGACTCTAGGTTTGTAGCAGCACTAATGTCTACACTTCAGCTGCCACATCTTCCAATTCCACCTTCACATCTGACCCCCAACTGACTGGATGAATTGTAGCATATGCCACAGTTTTGAAGAAGAAGATCAGTGACTTCTTGCTTCCTTTTTTAAAGTGCATAAATTCCCTCCAGTCCCTCTTCCCAAGATATTACTATAGGTCTTTTGGGGTTTTAATAAGATATACAATCCTCTTTAGTGTGGAGACTGACTAAAAGACACCCCCCTCCCCCCCCCCAGACCTCCAGATGTCTATTTAGACAATTAACCAACTAATGGCAGAGTGGGGTATGTTTAGTTGGTTAGCATAGAAAAGAACATACAAGAGTTCTTCCCAAGTGGGAATTAGAACTCTACACCTACTTTCTCCCTCAAGCGCTCCAGTTTAGCGGCCATTTGTGCCTCTCTGTTTTCTTTGTTAGCTTCCATTTTGTGGGTCAGCTTCTCTTCTGCCATTTTGCTGAAGTTATTATTTTCTTCAATTGCTTTCTGAAGAACTTCTTTTTCATGCTCTCGTTTCTCAGCTAATTGCTTCAAGACTTCTGCTTCATGAGACTAACAAGATAGACCATGCATATTTAGACATAAGACAGATGAACTATATAGCAAGGTCCCAATTGTAGTTGTCTACATTGGAGACAACATAACATTTTCTACTGACTATTTCAATTTGTGACTGTAGTCTTTTAACACATATCACGCACAAATCCCCAGTGCTTTCCTTCTCTACTTGCCCAGATTCCATCACAGTTGAGTACACAAGAAAATAAGTTCTTGCAGTTAAGTATAAGAATCTGGTAAACTAGATCACTTCTGAAAGAAAAAGGGCACATTGCTGCCAAGTTTTCTGGATGATTCTATCTGCCTCCAGTCACTGTATGTTTTAGCATGAACCCATGGACACTAGAGACTATGCAAAAATCAGATGTTATGTTTATGTTAAAAAGCCTTTGCATTTATCACCCTCCTAGTTATAATTAGGAATTTGAAGCCGCGTCTCAACAGCAGGTGTCATGTCAAGTCCAACTTTCAATCATGGACTTCGTATTGGGAGTTTCAGAGATTTACCAATAGCCAGATTTTTCTGGGAGAAGGAGTTCAAGACTTTCCCCATGAAGTAAGAGGTAGGGGAAGAATTAGATGGAAGACAACCTTTCAGTAAACTTTAGGAGATCACAGAGTAGCATTCTCTCTCCCTATTAAATGTCCCACCACCCCCATGTTTGGGGCAACCCTGAAAGGTCACTTTGGGAATGAAGTTCCGGTCTTGCAGATATATTTAAACACAACTGAGTAAGAGCTTTAGAAATTCTACTGCAGGCCATTTTACAAGCAAACATTCTCCTGCTCTTTTTCAGCACTGTGCTAGCATGTGAGTAGCTAGCTGGTTGTCCAAACTAACAAGTGCCTATATTAAGATTGAAAGTCCTGCAAGTTTAGATTTATCAGAAAGGGGTTTTTATTTAATTATTTAAAGTGAGCTTTACCTGACTGGCCCTTGAAGCTACTATTACTTTGGATTTACCTTACGTCTCTCTTCTGCAGCTTCCAACTTCTTCTGAATTTCTTCCAGTGAAAGATCCTTCTTCTTTGGAGGGGAGAGGGGAAATTCTGGGACTGCTTCTTTTGAACGAGGACTGAGTATCAGCTCAAATGCCTGCCCAGAGGCACGCTTTTCCAGCTCCTTCACCTGAATATCTAAGAGAATGACAAGACACTTTGAGCCAACTTAAGTGTTGCCTTTGCCTCATTACACTGGATTCTTAGATTTAGATAATGCAGCTGTCTAATGAAGCAAGAGTTTAAAATAAGCAGATTAGCCTGTTTTAAGCAGCAGCATAAGCCAACAATACATTTGTTTCTTAAGTCACATAGCCACAACAGTATCTGTGCAACTTTTACACATGAATTTATCCTCACAACATCCTAGTTAGGTAGGCAAGTATCCCCACTTTATAGATGGAGAACTGAAGGACAAAGATTAAATTGCTTGCCCCAGGTCCCACAGAAAGCTATGGTAGAGCCAGGCATTGAACACTGGTCTCCCAAGTCCCAGTGCAGTGCTTTAGCCGGCAGGCCAGCCTTCCTTCCAGAACTTCAGACTAGGTTTCTCAGGACAGAGCACAAATGGCTCCTAAACTCCTGCAAAACTGACTTGTTCTGCTTATAGGATTTAGGGCATCACATCCACATTTTATAGTCACTTTCATCAACCATACCAGATAGCATGTAGGTGAACTGAAAGCCATCTGCTACCAGACAAAGCTTTTCATGCGTTTTCACACGCATTTAATTTAAAGTTTTCTTAACCCCCGCATTAAGACGGGAGAATAGTACTTTGCTCACTGCTTATTTAACTTCCCTTTCATTCAAAATATTTACAAGTTGAGAAGATACAATACAGGAATATTCAATAAAGTGTTCTTAACACATTACATACCAGAAGAAGCCATGACTAAGAAGGCAGACACCAGAAATGTGCTCTGGAAAGACTCCAATCAGTGGAACCCCTAAGTAATTAATAGTCATTAGTTCTTTGAGTAAATAACCATAAGAATTAATAAAAAATTGCTTTACACACCAGAATGCAACTCCCATCAAAATCCCTTTGTGTTACAATAAGAGAATACTGAAGAGGCATTAATTACTACAACCAGATAACCCTTGTGGTCCCTTCTAACTCTATGATTTGAGAGTTTGTGGCCAATTTAGGCAGTTGGAGAAGTTTCCGCTATTCCAGCGCCTCTAGGCCCAGTTGATCTCCTGAATATTTTCAGTCTTTGTTTGCACTTCAAAACTGCAAAGGCCACAATGTAAGTGTTTAGTCCAATAATTTCTCCGCCCCGACAAAGGGCTACTAATCCTGCTTTTTCACCAAAAATTCAGTCATTTCATAAACTGAGGAAAGTAACATTTTAAATTTCAGGGGTGGCACTGTAGTACAAAGAAAGTGGATTCAGGACAACAGCCTGTTCCCAGTTTCAGAGAATCGCAGTGACAATTTAGGCTTAGTCAACACTATATTTAAGACTACAATGAGACAACTAGTCACAATGAGACAGCTGTCTCTCAAGATACTTTAAGTTTTGGTTGTGCTTGTGCAGATAGCCATAGCGTAAAAATAAGGGAAATTTGATCCTAGTACCCATCTACTAAAGAGAAACCAAGCCACATTATATAGCACGCTCGGAGCATAACCATTTTGTAACACTTAGCTCTTAAGAGTCATTTTCCACCCATAGATCTCAAAGGTGGACAGTATCATTATCCCCATTTTAATGTGGAAGTGGAGGCACAGAGGGGGAAGTGACTTATCCAAGGACCCAGCAGTGCAGTAACAGAGCCAGGAATAGAACTCAGATTTGAGTTCCAGTCCAGCATTCTATCCAGAGGATCCACTGGATACAGGCCAGCTACAAGTGCCTCAGTTTACCCATGTACAAAAATGGGTAGTGTCCTACTGATGTTGACTCTGTTTAGAATGGTTATTTAGAAGTCATTGGATGAAAAGCACTACATGATACTCTGCACTTTTAAAGATTGATAGCTGAGCCATTTTCTTTAATGCCAGATTATGATAGCCTCACTAAAGTAAGAGTAGAGATAATTTCAAAGCCACAAAAGCATGACTGATCGTTGAGGTGAGTGAGACAGCTATGAACAGCTGGATTGTTAAATAGGGAAGATCAGAACCAGATCAATAGCTACAGATGGGCAAGGCCTGAGAGCCTGGAATAGTAGGGCGGGGGACCCCCTTTGCAGGCAAGGCAGACCGACAGGGCTCTGGAAGAGTAATGGGGTCCAGAGTAATGGTGGAGCAGTCTGGCTATTGTGGGTAAGCGGGGGCAGAGCGAAGAGCTGCCCCGCAGGCAGAGCAATCTCCAGACAGTGCGCGGGGCAGGCTGTAGCTCGTGGGGCGGGGCAGGCAGATGCCCCATCTAGCCACTCAGAAGCGAGCGTGACGCAGGGCTCCCTCGAAGCCCCTCCCTCGGCACGCGCGTTTCGAACAGCACCGAATTCAAACCGCTGGAGAGCGCGCGCAGGGGCTACGGGGAGGGGGCGGGGCTAACTGTAACATCCGGGCACCTGGGTCCCCCTCCCCATCTACCCCTCCCGCCCGTTTCACCTGATAGGGGCCCCTGCTTTCCGCGCGCCAAAGGTCCTCGCGCGGCAGCCACTGCCTCCGGGGAGCCTGCCCCGGCTCGGCCCCTGCCCTGCGAGCTACGGGGCTGATTCGCTCCCTTCCGCGCCCCTCACCTCGCAGCGAGGCAGCCGCGGTCCCCACTAAAGCACCGAGGGCGGCCGAGCTCGCTGGGCGCCGCCCCTTCCCCGCGAACAATGGCGGGGTCCTGTCAGAGGAGGGAGGGGAGGGGAGGGGAGGGGAGCGGGGACAACCGCCGCTGCCTGAGCCTGATCCCACCCCCTCTCCACCTCCGTAGGGAACCGCCCCGGGGCCCCCCGCCCACACGGCGGCGGCGACAATAGAGCCCCAGCCGGAGGGAGGGGACGCTCCCCACCCCGCCCCCCGGCTCATTGTCTCCCACAGCCCCGTCCTCTTTGTCAGCCCCGCTCCCTCCGCGCCGCGACTCCGCTGGCGGGGACCGGCCGCTCCCTTCCCCCGGGGAAAGCGCCGAGCCACCGCCTCGCCCTCGCGACAAAGCAGCCGCTGACGGAGACTGACCCACTTCCGCGCGGCGGAGGACACAGCCCCCCCATTGGCCCCGACCGTCCCCTCCAGCGCCGCACCGGGGGGGTCCCTCCCGAGACCCCCGCCCACGGACACCCACCCTCCCGCCCCCGTGGGCTCCCTCGCAGGCACCGACCCGCTACTTCCCCGCGCCTCTCCTAGGCAGTCTGTCCCGCTCCGCCTCGCTCACCCACCTGCTCCGTCCGCGCCGCTGGCCACACTCAGCTCCAAACCGACCTGCGCCTCACAAAAGCGCCAAACAATGGCACGTGACCAGCCCCGCCCCGCCCCCATTGGCCGAGAGCGGCGGCACGTGTCGCCCAGCGGGGGGCGGCGGGGGCTCGCGCGCCCCCTTCGCCTGGTGCATCGTGGGAGCTGTAGTCCACAGAACAGGGCGTGGGGGAGGGCCGGGGCCGGACCCGGGGGCGGTGAAGGGGCTGGGGACAGCAGGGGCTGGGGGCCAGGACGCCAGGGTCTGCCCCCGCTCGGCTCCTCCACGCGCTGCGGCACGCGCACCCCGCCTCTGCCTCACCGTCCCCATGTGTGAAATGGGGATAACGGGACTCCCTTTGTCTCCTTCTCCCACCCCTGTCTCTGCCTGGGCTAACGCCCCGAGCCCCGTGCAAAGGCTCCGTCCCGCCAACCACTCCCTGAAACCCACTTGTCCTGGGAGGATCCCAAACTCCGAGCCACGTGCCAGCCCTAGCCCGTGCAGGGTCAGCGGCAGGAAGGCTCTGCCCAGCGCTGGGGCTCCCAGGCTGTCCGGGGCTTTGTCCATCTTTCAGGCGGAAAGTGCTCAGGGCAGGGACAGATCAATGCTACAAGGTGCTGAACGCCCTCAGCTCCCCCCGGGGGGCTGCAACCAAATGCCTTTCTGGGGAGCAGGGAACTCAGTGGGAATTGAGGCTGCTCCGACCCATTTAAAAGGGGTTCTCAGCACAGCAACATGCCCTTTTTGTGCCTTGTGCGTTGGGCTGGGATTTAGCCTAATGAATACCTAATTCAGAGGGGAGTAGTTCGGCTTCCTTCGCTAATGTATGTAAAATGCTTTGAGAAACCTTCATGGGAGATGCTACAAAAGGGCTAATTATTATATGCCATGTGCTGTAATTTGTATGAAGCCATAAATGTACCTGTTACTTCAATGCAAGTGAAATACAGGAAAGAGAAATCAGAGTGAAACATGTGCCCCCAAAACAATTTACAATCTAAAAGTACCAAGAGGTAGTATAATATGATAAATCCTTTGCACTTCCATAGTATCTTTTAGCCAAAGGACTCAACATGCTTTGTTGAAGCTTCCCCTAAGCCACACAACCCTGCCTGTGAAGGACGTAAATATTATTAGGGTACAATACAGCTAAAGAATGGCATGCAGCCTTCATTGATGGTTTTTGTTACATACAGTACACTTGGCCAATGACTCACGGATTTGTGCAGTTACACTGGAAACCCCTGCAGCCATGCCGCTAGCCAGCTAGTCCAATTTCTTCATCCATAATGATCATTTTATAATTATGTACATGTAGGCTGCTTTAAGAACCATCCCTATTTGTGTTAAGAGGTACACTATGAACAATTCTGGTTCTGAGGTATTGAATTACTAAGCATAGCTAAGTGGTTCATTCCCAGACGAACTTTGAATGAACTGGCTGGGTTTTAGTGTGTTCTTTAAAAATTATTTCAATATGATTCCCTTGGTAATTTTTATGATCCACTCATTTAAATTGCATCAAAAGTCAATATGCATGAGAGGTAAATGACCAGGAAGAGCAGCCTTAATGTGTTCTGAGCCAAGCTCTTTATTTCAAAGGCTTTGTACCTGAAGTATTGAAATATGAGGTTTTATTAAGGGGATCCACCCCTGTTGTGCATACTTTAAAAATAAGGATTTTACACACAATCCCACCTTAAGGTGGGTTAATATTGTGACATAAAACTATAAAGCTTTCAAAACACAAATTATTTTAAACACTTGCTCTTTTTTTCCCCCCTGATCTAACGTCTATTTCCATGGAAACAGCATCCAGCAGCAGAGCTCTTAGAACTAGGTTTTCAGCTGGATCCGCTAGCTCAACACAGCAAGAGCCATTTTTAAGCAGTATTTTAGAGCCGATTTTAGGATCTAGTGGCTAGTGTAATGTTTTGGTTTTGAAACAGGATCCATCTGCTTGACCATTCAATAACAGACCTGGTATACTGGGAAAAACATTTGGTCAGGTGCTGCCGCATCTACAGAGTGTATCACTCTAAATGCTAGCAGCCACATGTTACAGTGCAGCAAGAAACAGTAGCCAAGGGGCTAGTTATAAAATATATATATATATACTGATCATTTTTAAAGAAAGGAAATATCTTAAGTGCTGGCATTACACTGCTTTAAATGTTGTTTGGAATGTTGTTGACCTGCTGAGAGCTTGTGTCATTCCTAAATCAAGTGTTCTTCTTTTATTATTATGTATTCAGTATTATTATCCATATGATTTCAACAGTGTATTAGGTGTTTGTATTTTAAAGCCTTTTAGTAACAAAAGGGAGCTTGTCATGGGATGATCTCAAGAGTCACAGAGTCAATGACTTCCTGGGTTTGGGGGTTTTGATTGGCATTCCTGTCACTTCCTGGTGCCTGGCCCTCGGCAGAGACATGAAGAAATGTCCTCTGTACCTCCTGCAAAAGGGAGAGGGGGTGGGATCCCACTACCAGTCACTTGGGGCCAGACTCTGTGCCCAGATTCTATACATCTTCTTGGCTTGTTTGCACATTGTAAATAACTAAAAATAAAAAAAGGCCTGAGACTAATTATTTTTCCTTTAAGGCTAAGATGCCTTTCCCATATAACCTCTAAAATTTAGAGGCAGCATTGTCCAGTGGCTAGGGCCCAGTTCTGCCTATTTCCTTCTGTCACCTTGGGCAAATGACTTCACCTCTCTTCCCCTGCCAACCCTTTGTCTGCCTTGTTTATTTAAACAGTATGCTGTCTGGGCTAGAACTATCTTTAACTATGAGTGTGTGTGTACAGCATCAACACAGTGGAACCCTGATCTCAGTGGATTCTTTGGCCCTACTGTAATTCAAAAAATATATAATACTCAACATGTATTTCCAATTTCTTACAGCATTCTCAAATATTTACCTTTTGGGATAAAATGTCTCATTTTTGGTCTCCCGTCAGAAGCGATTTTAAGTTTCATAAAACCTATTTGTTTTGTGTGGGGCTGGGCTTTGTCACTGTTTGGCTGGGGATCTCCCAGGGAAAATGGAGTATAGGAAAATCATGCATTTAATTTGCATTAGACCATTGTTTATAGGCATTGTTAGTGGGAGACCAAGCAGATTCCCCTTGAGCTCAGTACACAGCCCAGCAGCTTTTGGTTGCAAGATTCCTTGCAAATAAGAACAATTTTCCAGTTTATTTCAAGCTTTCCAAAAATGTTCACCTTTTGGAAGAGAAATTTCAGTATGAAAGGTCATAGTTTCTGAACACTGTAAACCACCAAAAATCAAGGCTCAAGAGTTAATATGCTATTTCGAGCCTAACTCTAACCAAATCAGCTAACGAATGTGTGCATCTTGGCAGAAAGAAAGGATAATGACACTGCAGGATGCAGAAAGGTGTCGATGGCCTTGTTTATACTAGGGATAAGATTTGATTTCAGCAATTGGTGGCTAGCAACCAAGGTCACTCCATGGGTAGCTGCATCTGCTTGAAACCAGGCTCAGTTCCACTCACGCAAATCAAAGCTTTCCTTGTCTGATCTGGGTGTTTGTACCAGTGCAACTACAACAGTAACTGGCCACCAATTGCTGAGACTGGGGCTAATCCCAGTACAAACAAAACTTCAGGCCCCTCAGATGTTTATTGAACACCTTCAACTCTTATTGATTCAATGGAAGCAGGAGCAGGCTCTTTGTCTTCCAGGGGAGCTGAGGGTGCTCAGCCCCACTGAGGATCAGGCCCCTCAATCGTTATAATGGGTGTTGAGACATCTCTGCACTTGCACTCAGCTCCTGGCAGGATTGGGCCCTTGATTTCCCCACCAATCAACCTGTGAAGTATAAATCCCCATGGGGCCAGATTTTCAAAGGTGTTTAGGTACCTAAAGATGCACATAGGCAGCTAGTGGGATTTTCAAAAGCACCTAAGCAAGTTAGGTGCCCGAGTCCCAATGTGCAGTGTGACCATTGACTTCAGCCTGAAAATGGACATAATTATACTTACCTCCTTCACAGAATCAATTAATGCTTGTAAAGCACGTTGAGATCCTCGAATTATAAATGTAACATAAATACAAAATATTTTGAGGCTCTTTACTTGGGCACTGTCTCGGGTGAATTAATAATATTTAGCATTTATAATCTAAGGGTCTCAACGTACTTTTAAAAAGGAAGGTAAGTACCCCATGAAGAAACTGAGTGGTTGAGTGACTTGCCCAAGGGGGCACATCAGGTCAGTGGCGGAGCTGGCAAAAAGAATCCATGTCTCCTGACACCCAGTCCTGTACCTTGCCCACTGGACAATGCGGCCTCTCCTCAAAAATTGTCTGAAAGCATAAAAGACTGTGTTAAAATAATCAGATTTTTCCTGTAACTGGTAACTGCAATTTTTATTCTTATATGTTTCAGGGTCTCAGCTGGAGAACTGTTTGTACATGGAATTAGGACATGAAGTGATCAGATTTAGCATGAAGATTAAAGATGCTCCTGTGATGTACTTATCAAAACATCCCACAAAGAGACTGACATAATTAGGCGACAGCTCAGCCCACGGCAGCGCCTTTAACTTGCCAAAACATTTAATCTCCAACAAGAAAATGCACTTTTCGAGTATTAAATTGCCATCCTTAGTGTCCATGGTAGATGGACTGACAGATATTTGGTTTGTTATGCAGAGAATGCCTTAAAGCGCCTTTGTAAGTAATGTCAATGGCAAATATTTTCTACATTTGGACATATTAGTAACAGCGTCTGAACTAGGAATGTTTGTTGATTTCAAAATGGAAATCCAGTACATGATTTCTAATGTATTATTACAGCTGGTCTTAAAATGATCACCGGTGGTTTTTGATGTGGTCACCTGCTAAGGAAGACATGGGCGTTAAAAGAGATTCAGCACCTGAAGCTAGAGAGAGGCATCATGATTAGAGCAGGGGACTAAAGTCAGGGTTTTATTCCCAGCTCTGCCACTGACTTGCTGTGTTGACCCTGAGCAATTCACTTAGGCTCATGTCAGCCTAACTCCCATTAAAATCAACAGAAGTTGGGCTCCTAACTTTGAGGAT